AAAATAAGTATCAGCAGTATTTCTTTACATTAGGATATTTTTTTTTGCTTAGTTTAGATGATCTTAACGTGTTACACTTAACAGATTATAGAATCCAATCAAGATATAAATCATATAAAGAATAATTTGCCGGCCTGCCTGAAAAGGGCTTTAAGAAACTCTAAGAAAAAAAAAACCTCACGACAAAAAGATACTTCGAGTTAGTTACACAGACAAAGTTAACGGTTATACGTATTAGTACGGCAGATTTACATTTTATTAATTATTAGCACGTTTATATGTTGTCATATAAGGAAGCACAACAGAAAAACACGAAATTAATAGGATGCCATATCCAGACAATGAAAAAACTCATTCGGACAAGCATATGCGGGACTCAAACATTTCCGTACACTAAGATGATGCTAGGATGAGCTATTAATTGGCTTACGCTTCACACTTATTGAACCTAGGTTCATATATGTCTTTTTACTGCTACTATGAAGCTTATTTCGTCATATTGTACACACCTTAGCAAAGTATTCTAATCTACAGCGACCTGAAACACCACCGACATACATATTAAACGTCGTGTGTTACCTCCATTACTGTCTCTATTAGCTGTCAGTTGTTCTAGAGTCGAACGTAATCTCCTGAAGAATAAATGGCAATTCGATAGCGAGTGAGGGAAGAAAAAGGGACCCAGTACGTAGCACAGAAATCTGCAAGGAAGGGATCAATTTAGAAATAAGGATCACGATAAGGAATATAATAAGGACAAACTGACAATTCCTTTACCGGCTGACAGTTTGATCCGTTGTCGAATAGATGGAAGCACTTTCTCGTGCACCAAGACTCCATCTTGGCAGATTTCATCGGATCAACGCCTCTGCTTTGAAGCTAAAACTGTGTTGCGCTGAGGAGACAAATTGGAGCGGGGATAAGGTATGAAGTCCAGGATAAGCAAACTTACGCCCTCGGGTTTGGTTAGATGATACGTTGATTTCCCGTTTATAATGCAGAGGGCTAGAGATGGGGCGCTAAAGAGTGAACATGAAAGCCTTCAAATGCCCTGGCTTTTGGTTGACATGAACTCTGTATTCAAAATAGAAGATTTTTCACAGCTAGATTCTGTTTCTGCCTATATGAAATGAAAACAACATAATTTAATTACCGTGTTCTCCTGTGTTTGTCTGTTGTGCATTTCTTATCGAATATACGTTAACTTTTCTCTATAGATTAATATACAAGTGCCCGACCATTACATCTTTGTATAAACGGTGAACAGCCAGTACTGAGCAACACAGGTAGCGCACATCAGTAAAAGTCTAAAAAGTATTCATCTAAAAGCTTTAGGAAGTCGTATCGTAACATTAACTAAAGCTAACTTATAACTAAGCTAAGTTAGTTAATGTTACAAAAAGTGCATTACTGACGCTAACATAGGAACTTTACAGGACCTCGTTATAACGACAAGCCTTCAAATAACAATCATGCTTCAGTTTGATTTACGAAAATACACGAGGGATATAATCCAAAGACGCAGAAATATTCTCTACGGATGTGTATTAATTTGCTTGCCTAGGGAGACCTTTTTGTCTCCTCGCTTTGAGCCGTTCAAGTCAACCAGGTGGGCTGAGTCTATGCGACAAAGCAATACAACTAAAAAAAAGGAACAAGTGTCCCTTGAGGATCCACATACGCGAATATTGTTTTAGATAAGCGCACAGAATATAGCAAGAACTGACGTTATGGTCTAATTTCAGGAGACCTTACATATATGGCTATATCAAATTGCTATGGGCCATCAATGGAAGCCTCGCTCGTATGCTGACCACCTTAAAGCCCCTTGTGTTTGAGCGTTATGTTTTCCTTACCATAAAATTCGTCTATCATTTACTCGTTCAACACGAAATTCAGTGACATTTTAACACTATCGTTCAACTCTATTTCTTTGCACATTGCTTGTTCTGCTATAATGCCCTTCATGGCTTGCGTCTCGTTCATCAGTCAGTTTCCTTATTTTCATCTGTCACTTTCCTGCAAACTTTATCTTTTGCCCCTACTTGCTATCCTAGCACCCGATTTGCCAATAATTCTTCTTCACGTATATCTTTCTCGCTAACCAACTTTGTGCCTGATGGGCTATTGTGCGCTGTTCGCTCTCATGAATATCCCGGTCATCCTGTTTTTACTTGTCTGTCTTCTAACACGGTAATGGCTAGATTAGAACACTGAAAATCTGAGAAAATTACTCAATTTTATCATAATATCGAGAAGAACGCAAGTACCTAAATAAGCTGTGTATGCTCTGTACTGCTTATGAGCTGTGTCGTCAAAAAAAAACAACCCGATCCGATAGCGATACGCATCAACCGCGTCGGAAAATCGTAGGTGATATTTGAGTTAATCCGAGAAGTTAACCGAGACGAAACATGCGCCTGTTCTAGGTAGATTCCGTCGTGTCAAATCCGTCACGGTAACTGAGGCCGCTGTAGGTCCAACTCGAATCAGTTTGCACGACGGACATGAATCAAACAGCACGTTAGAACTTGTAGAACGAATATCAATAGAGAAAAAATGGTTATTAGGGCTTTTGGCCTATCCAGGAGCAGGTGATCATCTCAAAATTCTAAGCATAACAATCGTATATTCTGAAAATTAGTTTATCTCATATAATCGATTCCACATATATTTCTACATATACCAAGGAATGTATTCCTTGGTATATGTGGAAAATTTTAAATGACTGAATCAGTCGCCTATTGGATATAAGCAGACCAGCCTCAAATCATATCTGTAGATGTATTTTCTCTTAAACAGACAAATATGCGAGCCGAGATTTTGAAAAGGCGCGTTTCGTTAGAGTAAATCGGTTATTATCTAGATGGAAGAAGATGTTTGTCAGTGTCACATCGAGGAAAATGTTAGTTATGTTGCTTTGTCAGGCGGAGACTAACGAAACTAGAAAGACCTTCTACTCCTTCGTTGAGTTCTTCCACTGACTTCACCACAAGTCGGCGTAGCTTATCCTATGTGACATGAACCCCTTGAGAAGCACATCAAATAGCAGCACGATAAGATAAGCTCGCAATGAATGGCGACAAGTTTTACCCTCAACGAAACGGGCGTGTTGTTAGTTTCGACTGAAATTGAACAGGGTAACGCGGACGAGCTTCCGTAAAGTTTATGCGAGCGTTGAAATCTCGAACGATAAGAATCGACCAGTCTAAGCTTAGTAATTATAGCCAAACCTTGGAATGAACCAAATTCGACTACTGCTTATTATTAACGAAACTTTTAAGTCTGTTTCTATCCCGACTCTGTTCTAAAATATCCAGGCTATATGCCTGGAATTTCTAATAAAATATTAATGAAGGGGATAATTTATAGGATATTTAAAAACTCAATACAAATTATTGATATTTATCTAACGATTCTTGTTATTCTATTAGCATTGGATCTGCAATGCGAATTTTATCGCTTAGTGGCTGATGTCTACCTTATAAATGCGATATTTATATCCCTGACCCTCGATTTTCTGAAGAGACTCAGTAGCTCATTCTGTTTCAAAAATCTAATTCGTAATAAATAAGTGACTGCCCCTAGACGACACGGACATCAGCCGAACTATTTAACTGGTCTACGTCTATTATTTTAGAGGGGGTTTAAGTGAACGGATTAAGCTAAAGATATGCCCGATATTAACAACATTCATATAAAATCCCACCAGTGAGTCGTAGCAGATCGAGCCCCGCATGTGCACATCTGCTGCCTGCAAAGTCCTCGAGCTATCGCAGTGGTAACGTGCTTGTCTACTAGGGTTAAGTGGGCGTAAAGGGAGTTGGGTTTGAAGCTGGGCGTATGCTCACTACGCTAAATCATCATTAAAATTTCTAATAATAATAATAGGAAGGGGCTATTGATATAAAGAGTCTACTTGGTCCTTTCAGACTGCTTGTATCAAGGCCACACAACGTTGTCGGTTAGTGCACGTAATGCAAGCCACTAACTTTTTTTCTTCAGCCAACCCAAGATTTGTGTGCATATAATGCACACATGCTTTAGAATACAAAATAGAATAGAGCAGACGCTTTAGTCGTTACTAGGCAGGCTTACGATGCGTAGTTTCGACCATTTACTTGACGAAGCATCGTTCAAGCTAGTGTCATTACTCGGTATACGCTCTTCGTTAACAAGATCTAGTTCTTTTCGGCAAAATCTCATTGGCATTGGAGAGATAACATAGCCATGCCTTTCAACAGTGGCGATTCCTCGTCGTCCGTTCGGAGACACGATGTGTCCGAATAGAGATATAGCTATGTAAATGACAAAAGCCAGCAGGAGCCGTGGAAAATGCTCCCGTAGGCAGGGGCTACTTGTGGACCACTGCACTGCCCGTGTGAAGATTCATGGAGCAGCTATCCGTATACGAATGTTGTAGTCTGCGCGCGAATCTGCTTGACTGCATGCTGTGGCTGAGCGTCTGACTATGCGTCAGATCCAGGCAGATGTGTGTGTTCCGTACATCATATGATAGGCGAGGATGGCCAGAAAAAACGGGCCCATAGCAAGAGGGACCCGGAGAGGGTGGGGAGGAAAATGTGGTGTCATATGGCGAGCGGGCGGCATAATTCTGCGTGAAAGCTGGCGCTGGTGACCATATGACCAAGAAGTGTGAGCTTCCTGCTTTTTTCTTATATGTTTGGTGGTCGCTTTATTCTTGCTGGCAGCTATTTGAGACCGACCCACCGAGTATCTGATAACCGACTACGAAGATCTAAATAGCGACGGTCAATAATAATACAAGGAACAGAAGATTTGCAAACATCTGTTAACAGCCAGAGTTCATACACGCTGGGAGCAATAACGCCATCGAAAGAAACGAAGAATCGTTTGGTGTACGACGAGAAGCTACCTATCTCGAACACTTCTATCGAACACTGATAAACGGGCATACCTCTTCATTTCGATAATCTTCACTGAATCAAACGCTTGCTTCTGTAATTTGTAATTTTTTTATTATACATCTGTAGAATATTAGTATCTAATTGTATAATTGTTGAGGAATTGCGCGTCTTGCTCCCTGTTGAATAGGAGATCACAATGGGTTGCCAGGACTTCCAATAGCTACGTTGTGTAACGTGCCGATTCTACCCCAGTCAGTTTTCCAGAACTCTCAAATAGTCCAGTGCAAACAAATGCAAAGACAACCCGAAATTGTCTTAATTAGCGGTGTAGAAAGTGGCACAACAATAGCACATGGTTTAACTACATTAGCCGGGTGTATCTCTGCAGCGAGTGAGGCGGGCCCAACTTGCTAGTTCTTACTTCATTCCTTCCGTAACTTATAGCGAATCGAGTTATTTTAGAAGAATCAAAGTTACTCGAAAGTAATTACTTGTCATGGGAAAACGCACGATGTCCGAATCGAACCTACCGTTCATTCTTTGTAGGGCCTTCGCGTTGTTGGCGATGGCCCTATCCGTTCAAGAGGGCGCTACCGTCGCCGAGGGAGGAGCTTCGAAACTCCACGCTTTCACAGTACTGTTCCATCAGCCAAAGGTAACGGTTCTCCCGTACTGGGGTCCCACTATGCGTCTTATTCGTAGTCGCTTGTCCCTCAAGCGTAACCCCACAATAGCTATTGGCTTAATCGTGGCTACACCAATCATTCATAGCTCTGAGTCTCTTTAATTTTTAGACTTCTTTAGCACTCTGGGCTAAATAATATAGAGTGCAGCATTACTTTTTTCGGATACATCAGACGTGACTGAGATGGACCGCTTCAAGGTCTAACGAAACATACGAGGTAAAGGACGAAGCATAGGGATAAGCGGTTAGCGACGGTTTCGGCTACTGCCGCAACTGCTAACGGTGCTGCACTGACAAGGTCATTGGAAACGTAAAGGTCAGCCCTCAAAATTGTTAAGATGGCCACCGAACATCGAGGAGACTGCCAGCAGGTTGTACCTCTGCAGGATGGCAATGGGCATGTTCGTCTGACCAAGAATCCTATTATCGTATCATCATCGACTACTGGCAGAGTCAGATCGGCTTGCATCAGTTCAAAATCGACGCTTGCATTTCATCTTCTAGTGGCGCTTACTGTTACGGTGGTATGTGTCAATTTAGCAATGAACATCTTTCTAATACGTGTTCTACAACTTACGAGAACCGGCATGAGTTCAGTGAAGTTTTCGCCCTCTTCCGGGATCTGGCTAAGGGATCGTGCAGTCTTCGCAGATCTGCTCCGTACCACGCGCCTGTCTCACGTCAACTATAACAGGGTTTGTTTAAGAAACAGAACCATGTTATTATAAAGGTCCTTGATTGAATAAGTGCGATACTTTGGGGTGCGCTATTGCTTTGTTATCTTCATTAGTATGAATATTGTTATTCTCTAAGAATAGTGCCTTAACGTAATATGTCGGTTTTTCTAATATTCTTTTCGTGTTCCATTGTTGGATAATATTGAACTCGCGTAAATTCTGCTAAGCTCCGCTTATCGTACTTGCATGAATAGGATTACGTCCGTCCATTGGCATAAAGCGCTGGTGTAATTAGCCATGTAACCCTGCGATATACGCGAAGATGTCGTTTAGCACATAGGCATATAGCAAACTTAAACATATATCTTTCTAGTTGTGATTTTGTAATAGGCAGATACTGTAGAAAGGTCGCGTGACCGATCTCGCCATATGGACACGTAATTTTTTTTACGGCCGTATTTTTTCTATTTAGACATGTTTCACATTGATATATCTAAGGTTTGAACGAGCGATTTCGGCCGATTCTAACCGCGGCCCTAACCGGTATTGCGCCGACAATAAATGGATACTGAGCACAATTCGATCTTGGAGTTGGTACCGGGCAGTGCCAGACACGATAGGTATTCTTGGCTGCTTTGTGTTAGTTAAACGGTTTGACAACAAAACATAAATAAGGTAAAAATGATTTCTCAGTATATCGTATTTGATAATAGCAGGAACAACGACATGAAGGGCTTTTAATGTCCTCTGAAAAAGATGTCCATATCGAGTCTAACAATCGCGCCGGAAAGGTGAATTCCCTATCGATGTCAGCCGGAGGACTCGAAGTCCGTGGGGACGCGTTTGAGGTTTTTGGTTTGAGTCCAGGCAGAGGAGTGCTATTCCGCGCGGGTCAAGATGAAATTGTTATAGCAGCCAATGAAGTACCCGTATCCGCCCCGAACGGCTTCATCCTTCGAGGATCTTTACAGGCTAACACAGTGCGTGGTAGCCCTAGGTACGATCTGAGGTAGGTGGTGTTTTTCGCAAATTTTCAGATCGGAAGATCAGTTGACGCACAAACAGAGTAACCTCAAGTAAGATAGATATACCTGCATGTCTTTGATAGGCATCGGTTGATCGAAGGACTGATGGTTGTAACATCGAAGCACTAAGCGCTTCGTTGAGTACGGACTGTACATAAGCAGCTTTCCATGGTAGTTAACTATTTTATTTGTGTATTAGCAATCTAGGCCCGAAAGTTTCCTCTTTTCCAATGGGCTATTTTTAATTGACACAAATGTTCGACAGGTTTACTCCTAGCGAGGTGTTTGTACGGGACCTGCTGCAACGTCTGTGTTCTATTAATTAACAGGTTAGAATCTCCACTTAAAGAAGTGAACGTTCAGAGTGCGGGCGATGTTTTGGTCGAGTCAAAGACGGAACACATAAACGTTAAATCTGTAGATACGGTTAACATCATCTCGCAAGATGGCATGGTAAGCAAGAGTAGTTTGCGGGACAGTTCGACTGTCCTAGTGAGAAGATTGAATTGTTTGTCCTACAGTAACCTAATATTGTCAGCCCATCAACGTTTTCTGCACGGGCCGTTAGTATTCGATAAAAATTAGCCATATTCTGAACACACAACTAATATTGCGATCGACATCTTGCTGGAAAAGAGTATACACTTGTATATTGTATTTACTGTTATTTAAGACCAAAAGGCCTTATATCTTGCTAGTTATAGCAGAGAAAAGATAAAATAGAGATCTGATAAATGCTCAACCAGGGGACCATGTACGATATCTAAGTGGAAGTTCGGCGGTTAAGATCGAACTTGTGGTTGTTATTATTATGCAGTTCGCCATATTTTTTTTTATTTAGCTTTTGCTTAGGGAATGTGACACCGAATGTTCCGACTGGTATGAAAATCTGTTCTGAACAACGTAGTATTTTTTCATTTCAGATCTCTCTGAGTAGTCACAAGCTGGAAATCAAGGATCTACCAATTGCCGCTATGCGGAGTGTACGAGTCAAAAGGAATGAACCAGAACAACTATTAGAAAATAATGTTGAAGGTTTATGCTCATTTACCGCTTTTTTCATTAACTAACTGTAATTTCCAAACAAAAATTTACCCGCTCAGTCCAACTCTCATACGAACGACTCGAGTAGTCCGGTGCTTAGTCTAAGTAACAGGGGTTCAAGTGTCGCTTTGTAGACGTTGAAAGCTGGCAAAAATTTGAGATTTATCATAGGTAATTTTCTACTCGTCTATGTTTATACGAGTCGTATGCACAGATCATATAAAGTGATTACCCCACAATCTATCGGAGTGTATTGGACACGCTGCGGCAGCCTGTGCGATTCACTATGTCATAAATATGTTTAGGTCAGAGAGAACTTCTTGAAAAAGCCTAAGGGACAGAAATGTCGATACATAGATGCGAACGAACAGTTGGTTTTTCCAAATATGTGAAGATCTAAACCAAAAATTCATTGTTTTTTACATCTAACTAAAGTATTACTAGAAGGTTATATTTTCTTTAAATGATGACAGTTACTTAATTCTAGTGAACCTCCACTGCTAGAGGTTCATTATAACGGAACACCGTTAGCGATATGCAGGTGCCTAAATATAAGTCTAGCCATAAATTAAGATCACTTCAGGATGACAGTATTGAACAAGGTGTACATGTGTCGTTTTTAGCATTGCATTTTTAAATGCTAGGCTAATATAACATGTTATATTTTGTGTTTCACTGTTATTTTTTACAGATTGGCAGACCGAAATTAGATCTCAGATGGGTCAAGATCCAATGCGGCTTGTCGACCGCAGCCACGATATGTCAATAGATTCAACACGAGACGACGAGGCAGAAAGCTTTGCTTTGTGCGCGTGCAAGAACGGGAAAATCTTTGTTGTTGGACCCGACGATGAGTGTCAAGCGAGTCCTGTATTTTGCAATGAGCCTACTGCCAACAGCAATAGTAACGAATGAGTAATTAGTTCAATAGCTAAGGCTGGTGATCACCTGTTTCTTTACAATACTGATGATAGGCAGGTACAGATCAGGACAAATCACACAGGCTACTATGACTTGCGATCGTTTCCATTAATCCATGATGTTTGGAATAAGGCACGGTGAGTGGTTGTACATTGGTTATTAATAAAAGATAGTAGTACTCCCGTTATGGTCTGACAGATCTCCTTAGAAAAGCGTAACGATGCAGGGAAAATGGATGAGTTCAACGGCGTGAACTTAGTGAGGACATTTAACAAAGAAGCTGTGTTGTAGGATACAAGAATGTTGTGAATCGATATAAAGTATCATTCCTCAATAGTGAAGATGTACAGAAGGAGAGCCATTGAACAGGGACTCTGTTGGATAGTATAGATTCAGACGATAGTTAGAGATGGTCACTCATATGATGAAACTCCACGCATCCATCCGTGAGATGAATGTATTTTTACTAAGGTGCTTGTAAGCTTTGGCAGCAATGGCTTTATGGGCTGCGAACAGTATCACGTACATTCGTTGACGCTCACACTCGTTGTTTTCATTATTAGGTGGCCTTGAACGTTACAGTGCTACGGCCAAAATAAGCCACGATGATAATCTATAACGGGAGAAATACGTTGGCCAAAGTGACATTTGCAAGATCAGAAAAACCCAATATAGAGTACGGTTCCGGGTAGCATTAGGGCCTGCTTAAACCTTCCCTCATGCAATAAAACAAACCTGTATTTTCACGCACATGTGTGTTCATTTATTTAAGGCGTTTTTTTTTTTAATAATATGCATAATGGAAGCAATCAAAGAATTGTTGGTTTCTTTAGATTACTTAGCCAGTTTTACTGCAGACACGTAGGAATTATCATGCAACAACTTTTCTTTGTTTCTTTTTTTCTGTCCAGAAGCTTTCTATTGGCTCAGTTTTAGCCAGTGCATAATACTGTCGTATAGCTCGCGAACATATTCCAAAGAATATATATAGCTAAGCAAACATGACGAACAAGATCATAGTTAACACATTAAAATGTTTAATGTAAGAGGACCGTAGATCTGCCATCATGCACAAGCCCCTCAAACATTAGTGTCTGTGACAACCGCTTCACGGCATTCCAGGTTATCGCTAGCCAGCATGAAGACCCACGGTCACCTCGAAGTCATATAACGGAACTTTCAAATGTACAAACTGTAAAAATAAATACCTATTTAGCTTAGAGGCGAGCGAGTATACAGCTCACAAGGAGAAGTATGTCAACTGGCACTCAGGAATTATCCTGAGCACAAAAAGCTAGGTAAGGAGGCAAACGTTCATCTAATGGTTACAACGTCATCATGCATCTGCTGTTCTCTTCGTTTGAGACGAGTATCTTTCCGAAATATTGATTTTGGCTGGTCCCGTATTCGAGGATGAGCATTCAGCTGTCTTAGAAGTTAATTTGTTTATCTCTTCACCCAGCTGAAATATTAAACCCAATAACCCACTTGCTTGAACTTATCTTCATGCATATGCTAGCCCTGATTATGACGGCAGATTCTGTATCTGTGTGCCTTAATAACTAGTGAGCATTTTCTTATGAGATGTAGTCAAACAAGTAGGCTTATTTTTCTCAAAATTTATGATTACTATTTTTTAGAAATTATTTGGATTTTGATTCTCCATCTATTATTGGATAACACTCGAGAAATTGCCACAAATGTTCTCGTTGGCTTTCGTTGATTAGCTTGATTTTAAAAGAAATTGAAACTTTAGGTAGTGATGCTTAGCGTGATTGAGGGGGAACAATGAACTAAAATAACAATGCACGAATTCGTTACACAGCCAGTAAGACTTACTGGGACTAAGGCGTAACTTTTGCACCAGATGTTCCCTATTGGAAAGCCAATCATTGCCTGACCCTATGACATTGATATACAGCAGCTGGCTTTACGCCATCTGCCAGGCAGTTGTTCACGGAAAACAGAACAACATCTTCTTGGGAGTTGCTGTTAGCTACTGTCAACGCGATACGAAAAGAATTCTAATGTCATTGGCGAATTCAACCCCACCTGACACCGAGTGGGCTGCACTATACACGATGTACGACGGATCGGGGATCGGGGATCGGGGATCGGTATCGTACGAGCGGCTCCCGTACCGCGATCCCTCTGGGAGCCGTACTTCTTCAAGCAGCAGCAGCAGCAGCAGCAGCAGTGACGACGATAATCACATTTTCAGTATACGAAATTTCTTAAATTTATATAGGTACTTTTGCTGCCAATCAATTTTTGTCCAGATAAATTTCAACCGATACGATAATTTTCGACAGTTGTTTTTTTTTACAGGGAGTTGTTTTTTGTGTACGGGGTCTCATCATGGAATGATTTATATCAGCACCTAACCGCACAAAATCAAATTGGCATGTGGCTAGCCCCCTGTTCAGGGAATGCAAACCCTTAAAATAGAGTAATATCAACCCTGCTGCTATTTGTTTTAATGACTAACGGATGAGATGTATAATAGATAGCAGGGAATGCTGGCAAACCCACTCGTTACTTTGCCAAAGCAAATACTATACAGTGCGTAATTCCCCGCCAGTTCAGTATGGTAAACGTTGATTTTGTTTTCGATTTCTGGAACATCGAAGTTGATCTGCGTATACATATACATGATAGGTATCATGCATTTCCACTGACGATATTATAGCTCTTTCAATTAAATCTATTTCATTGTAAACAGAATAGCCCATAAGTTAAAGGTGAAGGAATATTGAGTCTGGCATTATTCCTTATGGGCGCCTCTCAGTGTACGTATGAATATCGTTCGCAATAGTTAGTTGTTCAAAACAGGGAAAATACGTTATAGTACTGCATTTACTACGACGACAAAAATTAGGTATTTACGTGTTTGGGAAACAGATTCCTTTGCCCAAGTTTGGGCGTGCTCTTTCTCCAGACCGCCACAGTGGGGTGACGAATTGAGGCGTAAATTGTGCTCAATAAGACGGACCCTCTGTTCAGGGCCCGCCAAACACAAGATTTTCGCTTTGCCAATCGTGGGGTGGCATCTTGTATTGTGTTCGCTCAGTCCCCTTGTGACTGCCGATTGCAGTTTAATTCCCCCTGGGCCTGGGCCGGCAGGCGCGCCGTCGATGAGGTGGAAATAACGACCACGTTGCAACATTTGGTTACCCACTAATGCCCCGTGCCTTGGAACTGCATTTTGTGAGAAAGTCGTCGTTGTACAATCAAAAGGAAGTCATCGGTGGTGAGAAGAATGCTGACTACCTATACTGAGAGTTTTTCGTTGCTTGGTTCTCAGCTATATTCGTGTAACGTAAACAATTTAAATTTACAAAGCCAGCTTATAGAATTAGCTACTATCGTTTTTAGTAAGCAAACTTAAAAATACGCAAACACAAAAATAAGGTGTAGCTTTCATGCTCTTCCAGATCAGTCGTCTTACAAAATCGATGAAACTTAGCCGTAACGAGTTTCTTCTACCTATATCAATAACACACGATAACTTGATGGGCACCGTGAAGGGTTTGTGACGTCTTCGATCCCTTTCGCTAGCACAACCACCTAGTTGAATTTAGCAACGATTAAGCCAAGGAATTTCCTTATACCGAAACTAGAAATTTCTTCAGCGTCGGTCCACGAAATGATACCCATCTATTAGGCGTTATCTCGCCTCCGTTGAGCAAGCGATCTCTACGTTCCTGGGGGACTCCATAGGAGCGGGGATTGGAATCCAGCTGAACTTGAAGTCAGTAGAGTACAGTTTATCTCATTTGTTGTCGACAGACGACAACGGGAACAACTTTCGATACAGCGACGAAGTAGCGACAGGTCGAAATTGGCACAATTCCAATTTTCCTGGAATGTGCAACCTGCAGGCGCGACAAGAACGGCGCAAATCAAGTAACTGGCAACGTTACCACGTCTCGTCAGCTGCAACCTGGGTCTGTGGCCTACTATCAGGAACGCATCAGTCTTCTTAGTTTCGAAGAGTTATTGTCCTTATTTTTATTTTATCACAACCCAAGATGGCGGACACTCAAGGCATTTCCCAAAACAATCAACAAAAAAAAAAAAAAACGGTTTATATTTACCAATTCGTGTGCAAGCTTTTTAGGTTTATCCTATTCAGTTGTTATCGGCACACTGGAAGAATATACAGTATACCGATGAACTACACATTGCAAATGATCGAGAATAGAATATAACGGCCAGCAAAGACAAACTGTCGATTTATTGGTACCTCTATGAATATTATAGCTCTACTTCTATATATATATATATATATATATATATATATATATATATATATACACTCTCTGCAAAAAGTTCAGATACTCTATTTATGTAGCAAAGTGGTGATTCATGCGTTTAAATCATGCTTTTGCGACCTTCTTTGTTTGGCCTATATTCCATAAAAATGCAATTATTTTATTACATTGATGTTCTAGAGTATTTGAGCATGCGTAACTCTACGAAACAATGCATCTAATAGACGTAAGTTGGCCTTGCTATTTATGCTACTATAATATGGCTCACATTTATAGTGTTTTTGTTCAAATAAATTGCATCCTTACTATGATACCTACGAACTTTGATTCAGTTTAGCACAAAACGTTTCCCGCTACTCCGTAGTAACCTTACGGAAATTTTGTATTTGATGGTGTTATCTATAAATGTAGCAACATGTTAGACTTTTTTTTCTTCATCAGCACAAGTATCATTTACCATGTTCATTCAAAAGCTTTTATTAACTTTTCCGTCAATTCATAGTTGCAAATTCGATCGTAAAGTCTGTGTCTTCTGGATTACTAAAAAACGGCGAGTGCTCTATATCTGACTTTGTCGTGGTAGTCTCGAGGTTGATCGTGAAAAGTTGTTTCGGCTATAGTAAAGACTCCCAGCACCACCGTATCCGTAAGGGTCGTCAGAATCGTCCGAATCGTAGGCCGAAGGTATGGCGAGAGCAGAACGCGGCCTATCAGGATTATCAAAGGGTACAGAACGTAGAGCAGCCATTAAAGAGCCTTTTAGCATTTGCATTTCAGATTACAAAGAAACTTGTGTCCAAATACGTAAACAATAGTTTTTTTCGGCATCTACATAGTACCCTAAAACACTTTTAAGGTAATAATGAACATGAAAATAACCTTACAAGCTTTGCTTCTATGAATGAAACTCGAAATCCCTTTTACTGTTAAGCATGTACAATAGAGATGTGAAAAGCGCAAAATTACAATGGTAATGTACGTGGAAGTATGAGTGATCCATATTACTCTGAAACGATGCAATAGGTACCTGAGGAGTGGAGGCACTCGAGGGGGCTCCATAACGGGCCAGCTGTAAGGCTCTCCCTGAATCGAGTCTGGATACCACTGGCCATTATCAGCTGTATCCAGATAAACATTTCAAAGGTTGCATAAAATCGCCTTATTACAAACGTACTAAGAAGAGAATAACTATTTTGCCTCTGCCATAATCGAATCGGTAGGGAAATGAAAAAGGTTACACTGATTTTCAAAATGATTACGCCATATCCCGCCATTAGCACGCCCCGCCATGAGCTTATTTGTTGCGGAAGACGCTAAATACCGTCTTATATATGCTATCAGAATGAATTAAGCGTGCTCATTCTATTAGTTTTTATCTCGCCAGACATAGTAGTGCGTACTCTAATGAATATATGACCATCCACGTGCAGGCGAAACAGAATATGTATGTCTCCACTATGACGAAACCAATACAATACGAAGCTTTGCGTGTCTACGCCTAAGGGAACTGTGTTCTTCGTTTGACGAAAAAAATGTCTTACTGCTTAGCTGTCGGTGAAGATGGCTTCGCCTTTGTAACCTGCGAATGCGGGCGACCCTCACGCAGCAGTGGTAGCAGTTGTAAAACGTAAGCCCTATGCCTGCCGTGGCTGTAGCCGCCAGTCGAAGGGTCCAGCGCAGTCCGACCGTTTCGATAGCAAATGAGCCTACAACTAGGCAAAGTAGCCTCCCTGTGGAAAGAAAAATCATTGACTTCTTACCTAGTACAGCAAACGTTACCAACGGTGCTTAGGACATCGCCATGTTTAGCGTGAGGTTAAGTATTGAGTACCAGATGAAAGTCTCTAGTCCTGAAAGAAGAAAAATGGTGCCAGGATTGCGTATGTGGAGCATGGCTAGCTTGTTTCGGGAAATTTTTCTTTGCATGCCGCTCATTGAGGTTATGTTTTGGCGAGTCGACGAACGTTGGATCGACAACGCTAGTAACCTGGAGAGGTTAGCGCACGGCTCATCGCTAAAAATGTCTCAGTCAATTATGCTCACTTGATGGGATAAGCAGACGGTTTTTGAATATTTCTGCTGTAGAATAACAACGATGTTACTGCATTATGTTTGTGTATGTTGAAAAGTAAGGAAAAGTTAAACTCTTTTTAAGCAGTGGTACACAAACCAATTCCGATATGTGCAATGTTGACAAGTGTATGTACGAGTGAACGGTTTTCCGGTCGCGAAATCTTTCGACTGTACGAGACTAAGGCAAGCCAGAAAACAGGACCGGTTAAACAGGTCAACAGCTCGAACGGGACCGCCCATCGGAGGCACCTACATCCGCAGAAGTAAGTATAAGTGAGCTAATAGAATAATGTTATATGAACTTCTATGTATTCCTCTATTTTCATAATAGATACTGATGTTTATTTTGTAATTAACGAAGGGTACAACGTAAAATAGTTGCAATCACAAGACTATGTCGTATTGTCCCTAATTGTAAAGGTCACGAAGGGCTATCGGCTGACACATTTGAATGCAGTAGTAAAAGCTGCGTTCTTTAAAAATTGCTTTATAGTTCAATGCAGAGCCAATGAATATTTTCATATGGGGCAATGCAATATCTTCTATAAGTGTAGCATTCATACCGAACGAACGATACTCCAGCCATCCGCGTGGCATAAAAGAGAGACGCAAACACCAGGAGGTTCACGCGCCCAGTTCCTTTGAGAAGAGTATCGGCCGCCGTCATAAGGGGCAAGGCAATTAACAGCGGAACACTCCAACTTAGGCCGAGATCCGCAAACGAAGCTCCCATAGTTTGGTACCTGTAAAAATGGAACAGTAGAGTAAGGAGCTTTTTTCTCTCCAGCAACTTAAGTGCTTTGCGCCATTTCGAAACGTGACGAAGTTTGCTATACTTCGAAGCATACGCAAATTGAAACTTTAGCCAGTAACGGACACACTGTCGAACTTGAAAATGCGAAAAAAACTGTATACTAACCAGGGTTTGACATGACCTTCGATAAGGGCAAGATCAGTGCCAAGCGCTATGGTAAGGACGAGTAAGAGGATCATTTCGCCCGACCAGAGGCGCCGGTGTTGCGAGCCATGATCGATAAAAAACGAGCTGATTCCTTCGACTGGCCGCAATAAGCAACACGCTATAGCTTCGATAACGATGCAGCAACCTTCACAACATGATTGCCAAAAACAACAGATAAAGCAGTTTATCTATATGGTTCTTGAGCAAGCTAAAATCAAATAAAACGCTGCGTATTGCTTATTCGTTCTAACCTATACCTAAGCAGGACATCACACGTGAAAAGTACGACCTGCTTTTGCTAGGCTGTACCATAAAAAGATATTGTAGTTGTATATTAATACCAACGTTTTTTTTTTTTCATTCAAATTTCAAAATTATCAATCGATCAAAGAAAAAAAAATCAAACAAAAAATTTCAAAATCAGCTCTCGCTACGGGTTTGAAAAATAACCAGTTACTACCGTATTATGAGTAAAATGGTATCATTGTGTTATTCCCATAGTTGTATCAGTTACACAGTCTGTGTGATATGGCCGAAGATGATTTTAGCAGATACACACCGGCAAATAGAATAGCAGACGGCGCCCATTGGATTGCTTCTACGTTTGTCTTAAAGTAGTCGAGCAGCAGACCAGACACCAAAGCCCCTATCGAGCCTCCGAGGCAACTCCAGACGCGTATACAACCTAATTTAGTCATTGAATCGCGTGAAGCGTCCAAAGCTAACAAATCCAGAAGAATAACAGCTGACATGGCAAATGCATCGCCGGCGCAGCGAAGTATCAACGTGAACCATAGCGTTAACTGAGGATCACCTTCTTCCTCGATACACGAGGCAGCTTTCATCTGACGGCCTAACAATAAAATCGAAGGCACAAATATGCAACTTCATTTAGAAACAATACTTTTCATTCCTAGTTTGTTTTAATCATAGTTTATACTTCAGATGTACTTGTTCAGGACAATGATCTCTCCTGCTTGCCCCACTATGTATCTATTTTTTATCGTATTTACCCACTATCTGTCTCTAATTCATTGTTAACCTATGTTGATGAAATAACGATGACAAATATATGTTTATACTGTACTTACTTTTCGATCAGCCTTAAGATACAGAGTATTGGAAAAGCTGTATCACTTCATGATACCTTAGCCGAGGCTGAGAACCATTATTATTATTATTATTATTTGTAAAAAAGAAAATATAGATTTTTAACTTCAGCAAAGCTTTCATAAGTCTGCATAATTCTTTATTCAAAGTTGATGTGTACGTTCCGTACTAACTAAAAATCTCTAGGTCGTGTTTTTTTTGTATACCATTTGAATCAGCTATTGAAACCTTGCACCGGACACAATTGGATGTTGCACTCCTACACACGAGGTCATTGTAGGCCTTTCCGTTGAAGCTGATTGGGGACATAAGATCAAATCCACAGACCGCCTGTTCGATCAGTTCAAAGACGATACCGGGTAGGCAATTAATGATGTCATCTTAATGAAACCAATTGTCCTCAAAAAAAAACCCCACCCAAAAAACACTACGACGCTCACCTGTATGTCAGTAGGGTCTGCAGGCGTCCAGGCTAAAGACCTCGCCGTTGACGATAGAAATGTCGAGGTAAAACTTACAGATGTATTACCTCGCTCCAAAACATGGCAATGTTGCGCTGTAACAGGTACACTGGGTATTTAATGAAGTAATTACTTAACAGGATTTGCGGTCTCTATGAATGCTCGGTTCTAATGCATTTTTATGGGCTCCATTGGTGAACCACTAAATTAACTACTTGGTTAATATGTGTATCGTTCGACGACAGGCCCATTCTGTCGCAGTCTTTCAAATTGCAAGTTTAAAATTGTAAACCCGAGTGAGTTTCTGTACCGTTTTATCAGATCCGCTTACTGACGTTGCTATGTTTTGGTAAATGCTGAATGTAGCTTTTATTATACTTGTCACAATTTCTTTTTATTCAGCCTCATAAACTGTAGTACTTACATTTATCGATTCCCGACATGAAGCAGAAGTGGATTGGGCCAAACGACATTGACTCATCATCAGGCCGACATCTAGATAGGGTCAAATTAAGAAGGCGCCATTGAGGAAGCAATTTTGAAATGAACGGAAGTCATACTGGTCGTACTTACACCTCTTTATCCCAAAGGTCGTAATACGTATTTCTATTAGCATCAACTACGGTGCTCGCTTTTACACTGTTCTTTTTTTTTGACTGATTTTTACTGATCTGTCCTAGTTTGAGAATGGCCTGCCTGTGGACGCAGCTCACCTGGCACTAAGTGTTTCTTGAAAAATGGAGAAAACCAGTTCATTTACGAGGGGGTATATAGAGTTCGAGATGGAAGAATTCTACGTAGGGAGTAATAAATAATGTCACCGGGTTCTCAACTGTTTTGGACAAACCTCGTATCGAGAAGTTTCCATACAAACGTTCGCTAATTAGTGCTATGAAAATCTTGGCAACTGTTTGGCGTATCACCTCGTCGTCTACTGCATATACAATGTCTTTTCTAAATTAAAACTTTCTCTTCTAAACACTGAGATGATCTAATACTTACCTGACGCGACAATCGACAAGCCTGAAATTGGCTGCTCCAAGAGGATTGAGATCAGACTCCGCACAAGATGTCCATTGCGGGCAGCGTTCAACTATAAGACCCTCTCGACAGTCGTATTCAAGAACGGGCTCTCTGGGCAACCTCTGTACTCGGGGAACCTGGCAACGGTGGGCAGCATGGATCGTGCACAAATTTCTAACTTGGTCAAATTTGTGTTACTTAAACATGTAAAATGAGTGCTAGCCTGGTCCTCGGACCATAATAACGGATCGAAACTAGCAGTGAAAGGAATACACAAACGACCTGAACAACTTTACAATAACAGTAGCTATAGTCGGTTAGTTAAGACAAAAGTCATAGGCCCACGATGTACACAATCTCGCACCTAATCACACACCGTTAGTACCGCAAATCAACTATTTCTAAACACTAACAAACATGAGGGCTGGATACGCCACAGCGGTGATTACGACCGCTATAAATAAACTTCCGCGGTGACACCCGACATGGTCAGCTGTACGGACCAAAAGTAAGGGAAGGCCACATGACGCCAAAGCGGATAAGGCTTCTACCAGAAGTGTCTCTTCTTCGTTTAGCCCCTGAAACAAATAACAAAAACTAAAGCTAGAGAAAAATGCCCTGGAAACATGCAAACTAAAAACAGTCGAAATGATTCCATGACTTCCTGCATTGCCAGCTAGCATGGGATTAATTCATTCCTTCCTTTAAACGACAAGCAACAATTGTACCTACTCAGCCATTCGTTACATTTGAATATGCCGAATGTCCTATGATTTGCTATGAACTACCATCGTTGCTTTCTACGGGTACATCCAATTCGCGATCGAGCTAAAAGTAATGATTAGAGTCAAATGGCCATTGTCTAGTTGTTATGAATGGAAGTTAAATCTAGCGGCTACCACCCGGTGGTCGTACTTGATGGGCAAGATGTTCCTTGAGAAACGGCAGGACGGCCCCGAGAGCTAGATAGAGAAAAAACGAACTCGCTTTAACACTGGGCAAGCCGCTTCGGCGAACGTAGACCGGTGTGTGATGCGTTCGATAGACGTGCGGCTGTGGACGAAGCTGGCCCATTGCTAGCAGTTCAAAAACAAATGTTAGATATCCTGAAAAACAACATTACGCATATAGAAAATGTCGGTACACCTGAACCAATACGTCGTTTTACGCCGATCAGGCAAATCTTTTGCACGGCAAAGACTGAAGTGATTTTCGACATCATCACGTCCTGTAGTGAAGACGCCTGGAAACAGAAATGAGCGTAAAACGTCGCCCAATATATGCCTCGCACATCAGTGTTTGCGCATAGACACGTTTTGGGGAAACGACCGTTACAGGAAATACTAGAAAACGTTAACAAATCGCATACGTCAAAAAGGGAACTTTTCCCCTAAATAAAGGAGAGGAAACATAGAAAATGGTAATAATAATTCCTGCAGCTCGATTACTGGTACCTCCACATGCTACCTTCTGTTCAGTTATTTAAATAGTGTTTATTAGTTCGCACGAAATTGAAAAGATTGCTCCGGCGTCGTAAGTGTTGAATCATCATCATCTAAATCAACGCTAAACACGCCAACGTTTCGTAGCAGGAAGCTGTTATAATTCGGTGAGTTCTTGGACACGAACGACAGCTACGGTCGACAGTTGTTTTTTAATGTTGAAAAGTCTAACCTGCGTGTGGGTGCGTCGCTCGCGATCGACCTAGGCTGCTTCGGGCATCTCTGCAAGTATTCCGCGCCAAGTCTTGCTCACTTCGTTCTATGGTACAACGAAAAACAGTGAGTTATACCTTCAGTTGCCCATGTTCTAAGTCACTGTATAATTGTTTTAGAATTAAGGCTATTCCACAGTTCTGATACGTCCCTTCGTGTTAGCAATTACTTGTTTTAGGCGCTTGCTTATGCGCCCTCGTTTGAGAAAGTTCGTGGACACGCTTTAGGCTGTTAGTTTAAGGAAAACACTAAATCTGTTAAATTTACGGCTGAATTGAACATGAATAGTGGTCGCTTTTGGCCGAAATGATAGTGGTCGGTCGATTGGAAGTAAACCGTTGTACAGGTCGTACAATTTGGTTTCATCGTAGAACCCATGATATAGTGAGTAGCCTACTAAGAAGTATCCAGCATATATAAAATTCGTATCTATTGCCTAATAGAATATGCGTTTACCCGTTAGTCAGAGTATTGTGGGAATAGAGTTAATCAGACACGATTATTGGGATGAAACGCAGAAAAAAAGGTCTGCTCATCTATTTGCGGTGTGAAAGACGTCTGAAACGTATTACCGAGCTCATATCTCCAACGTATATATCTTAAAAACACCGAGACCACGAATAAAGCTAATAATTTCCTGTGAAAAGGTCAAATTTGGAGTGAAAGTATTTTCTTTCTTGAGAAATAGCTATGATTATTGTTACAGAAGGCTATTCTTTCTAATGGTTCCACTATAATACACCCGCTAGGAGACTTAATTATTATTATTATTAAGTTTTGGTGGGCAGTTGATTCTAGAGGAACGAGGGAATTGCATGGATACGTTGCACTACTTTTGGAAAACGAACTTGATTCCACTGAAGTTTTCATAACTATTATAATTAACCACGATCGACGATCGTAATTATCTGGATTACGGTGCATTTAGATGTGAACTATGTGGCGAATTGTTACAGATAAGAATTGCATCTATGCTGCCCTACACAACGTACAACCAATATGTCTATACGGGCTTATAGATACGGAGTCGCTTAAGGTATCTATCTAGGCTTAGCTTGGAAATGAGCAGGGGGTCACTGTTCCCAATCCCTTTAACGACACCTAATTGGTGCATAAATTTATTTATATATATATATTAATACCTTGTATTTATACCACTGGTTAGTTCTTTCACTCTGTCTGTAAGCTCATCCATCGATCCATCCATTCTTCTGCCGTCCTGTTTCATATGTACCCTGTGTTATGGCTCAGGTTACCTACATAAATGGGCTTGTAATAAAGCCCAGTATAGAGAGCTTTGTAAAACGCGATTTCTACCTAATACGCAAGTGTTTAGTTAGTTTTTTCGTACTTTATTAAAGTAGAAATAAAAATACTTAGCTGGCTCAAAAAAGAATTAAAATCCATTCGACAATAAGGTACACGCGAGAAATGGATCGTGCCAAAGGTTTGGAAACAGTTTCGTAACATTTTGTCCAAACCCTTTTCGCCAAAATCACACTGACCCATTAGGGCTACGCCATCGGCCACATCGTTGAAAAGATTTCACCGTTGCATTCATCTTGGTGTGAAATACCGTTGACATGGCCTATCTAGTGAAGCAACACGGGGAATGTATTATTGGTGGTGCCCACGTCGAATCTGACGAACGACTATCCTATTTTTGCTATAGATGAACCTATCCTTATTAGAACCGTAGTAAAAAAGGTTACAGATAAATTCTAATATCTCAAATTTTACCTTCGGTGCTGCCAACAAGATTTGTCTTAGACGGCTAGTGAAATTCAGAGCTGCTCGAAGTCAACCCCATATTAGGACAAATTTTTATATCTTCCCTGAACGATAGGTTTATTAGCAAAAGTTGACAACAGTATCAGGCGACTCCAGACGCCAGTGAATCATATTAGATGTATTTACACAGATAACCGCAAATTTAATTTTTTTTTGTCCTAAAAACCACTCGTTTCGTAATCTCTTTTATATGCTATGAGACATAAATAGCCATCATTGCATGTGCATATGTAAGATTCCAGGCACCTCTAGTTACTACAAGCAGCAGACCATTACCCATTTCACGAACTAGCCCCCGGAATATTCCGCACGTAGCCAACAAATACCCCTTCGTTCCGTAGGACTTCAAAGTACTTCAGCCCCATTCAAAGGCGAAATTTAACCATTTTTTCATTTACTGATTGCTTAAAACATCTTAAGAAAATGAACATTAGCTTATATTTTTACTAAATTAAACTGATAAATATTAAACCTGTTAGTATCTAGGAAACGCGATTGTGTTTTCCAGTGGCAATGTGTAATAAAATCGCGAAAACTTAACAACCACACCATTTTGCCGTTGGTAAAATCGTATTCTTCCTATGAATATCTTTATTATTGGCCTGCATTATAGATAAGTTTAGAACAGGCTATCGACAAACTTATCGCAGTTGGGGCCCCATAATACTATCATAACCGAGTCAGCATTCTAAACATCAAGTTACAAAAGTCAAGTTTGTTTCATTCAGGAAACGTGTTTATCTCAAAGTATTCCAAGGTACTTCGCCACCCACAATTATGGCGCCTCTGTCCGGGAGTTATTGCTCCATAGTTAGTACTTCGTGTTTCTAGTGGATGCGTAAATGCATCGTACGCTGTGGTTGGCGAGTCGTCATGAATAGGAATCATGAACTCATCAAAATCTCGGACGATAGCGAGGCTGAATCGCCCTTCTAAAACTTGGTAAGTTATTTTTTTTTTATCTAATTGTCCTTTGATTAGACCTTACTAAATATTAGAGCCGAACGCAACTTTTCACACAAGTTATGCAACGGGCGCTTTTGTCTCTCTTCGGAGGAGATCTGAAGTTAGTCTATAGCCACTCAAAGCCTTTGACGAGTACATCGATCCCAGCCCCCTATGATTATTCTACGAAATGTTATTTGAAGCATTTATACCATGTTAGTTTTGTTTTCTGAGTTCAATTTCTCCTAGCATAGACAGAATAGGTCTACTATATTTCGCAAACTCTCGTTGTCAATTTGGTTAGGGACACGGCCAACGAGGCGTCCTGCCTTTTGAGATTACTTTGTTCTCAGTATAAGTTTACTGTTTTTGTTCGTCCAACGTTGCATACGCCGCATTTGTGACCGCGTCGCTTAGAAAGCCAATAGCGAACCTCGTTGTCTGTATAATTACAATTACGCCGCAAAAACTCGGGGAGCCTTGCTAGTTCTCAGTTTTCGCCTCCAAGCGAATTTTCTCTTATCGTGTTTGTTGGCCATGAGACATGCGTATCCGCTGTTTGTAGGTGGCACGCAAATCTAGTAATAAGCCAACACACAGACCTAATAGGAGGTATCAACTCGAACTAACGACAGACTAACGTTTATTCTGTATTCACGTTTTTCTGTAATACGTTACGGCCATTTGGGACAACAGTTTCACACGTACAGGGCAAGGGCAAGCGCGTATGTTATTTTTAATTACCTTTTGTTCGTCATGTTTATTTTGGCTTGTGTCTCCAACAATTTCTACTTGCTTTTTCTGCCACTAACTCTGCTTAGCCTTCTCACGCGCCTTGTATAATAATGAGCAAAAAACCGTTTGTTCTTCATTTGCAATGACTATTCGATCAGTGTGGGACCGCTTTTTCAGATACTGTATAACTATACTGGTTGGCTAGCCGTTATTGATTAGAGCTAATGAACCGTTGACTTTACTGTACAGTATGAAATAGCCAGCGATGTTCGCTGGCATAGACGCGACCGCCTTCATGTATAACTATCGTCGGTATCACAATAGGCACCGGCAGACAAATACGATTGTTTGCGCTAGAATTGGCCTAATTGCAATATTAACGACCAGGCCTAGAGACAGAGAAAGCTCCACACGTTGGTCCTCTTTTAGTCCATGAATAGTACTAGCTGGAGCAACCGTTGGATTTCTCCGCCCGTTCAACGCAATGTTTAAATGCAGTACCGGACATTGTTTTTTCCGCACGTACTATCTACTATTCATTTCATTCATTCGTCTATCCGTTTGTTGATTTGGGTTAACTCATCTCCGCTCCGTTAAAGCGTTTCCCCATTTTATCGGGCATCATGTCAAATTGCATTTCGATCCGGTCTGCGGCATTACTCGGTTAGCGGCAATGGCACTGACTGCCGCAGCCACTCTGATGCTTTTGTTGTTATTGTTACTGCTGCCGCTGCTGTTGTTACAGTCATCAGTCATGTGCCATAGAGGGAATGCGTGCAAATCGCGGACAGATTGACGGAACAGCAGGAACCGTCAGCTTGTAATAACCACCACAATAACTACTGCATCTGTAATTAGTAGTATATGCCAACGTTTGTAATGGTATAACAACAACCTGTTTCTTCTTCAGCTGCAAGACCGTATCATTACGTCCTTCTACTTGCAGGAACACTTATTGGGTTAGATTAAGCCCATCGTCCCATAGCCCAGAATGTCTCACGTGGATATGGTGCTCTAGCAGGCTGTTCTGTTGTTGCTAATTACGCTGTTATGCTACATGAAGCGGAACTTGCGTATGTCCGCATGCGCACGAACGTTTTCTTAGCCCTGAATCGTCCCATATGATAAACAGGACGAGAGAACTCGGCTGGGTTGTGTTACGCCATGACGGTGTGCAATTGATGCGGGCGAACACCAGACCCAGAAAGTACATGATATAATAGCACAGACGCGAAGGCTAACAAGGAACAAAATTCAAGAAGTTCTGTACTGATAAATGCGCACAATGAAATAGGCTATCGCTCGGCGATCGGTGAACGTAAAACAATAGATCAACGAGCGAATCACAATTATCAAATCGAACGACACCGTACGCGTCTGTCTCACGTAGGGCGACATAGTCTCTCCCGCAGACTCTACAGAGGTAGCTGATATAGGTGCGTAAACGTAACTATTACGTCGTCATTTTGTCCGATTCCGAGTAAAAATGGATCCAGACGTAAATGTTCAAGTATCTATGAGTGCTACGCTGGTGGCTGGGCGAACTTCAAGTTATGATGTTATTATATGCGATGCATAGCACTGCTTTTTATAGTTAATGTAGTACGTGATGTCACACTATTGTTAAGTCAGTAACACTATATAGAAAAAGTTCAGTTTCAGTTCAGGGACTGACTTTTCAAACCAAAACCTTTACATAGTCAAGCTATCAATGGAAAGAGTTAATTTTAAATTCGCTCCAGGTAGACGTCTGACATTGTCTGAATTTGTCCAACACGATAAAGCTCTCTATGATTCGAACTTTACTGAAATGAGCCGGCCGTGAATAAGGCCGAGTTCGAACCCAGACTACAACGCACCCTTTAGATTAGCAGGGAAATATACAATCGAGCTTGGGCATAGCTTGGATAGGCGCAACGTCTTCCCCGCCAAAATATATGCCGCTGAAAAACAACGACGGTCTCTGTTTAACGTACTTGGACCAGCATAAATCACGTTTTTTGATTTATTCGTTTGTAACAGGGGTTCATATACTTCAGAGTCAGCACCTAAATGTCAATTGTAGCAGTCAGTAGTGATTCCCGTACAGCATGGATCAATAAACAAGCTATCTAGATTTGTTGAATCATTCATTTTTCTCATTTTAGAATTTGTAAAGAAAAAAAAAATCGAAATGTTTAATTCGAAAATTCAGATACTTTGAATGAATCCTGATGTGAACTGCTGTAAAATCGATAAAAAAAAAGCACTTGTCTGATAATGGTTACTGTTGCAAAGAGGTCACACCGCGCGTTGAAGGGGAAATTTGTCTCTCATAGCTATGTCAGTCACACATTGGTTTTTCGCTCGCGGAACGACCTTTCGACACGTAGAACATATCGGTCGAAAGAGCCTTATCTAATATATTACTGCCTTATTAGTATCCTTAGAAGTAGAACTAGGATATTAAATAATATAGACATAAATAGAACTACTAGTGGCTTCGCCAATGCGTGGGTTTCGTCCCCGTTCCCCCTGCTAAACTATACCATACTTCATTGAAGTCTGCAGGAGTTAATGACTGTTTTATGCAGCACATTCGATGTTATAGGTGCCTTAAAAACAAATAAAAATTGTGCGACTCACTTCCATGAGAAGCTCGTTGTAGCTTTACAGAAGTCTTCAATCAGACTTTACACTATGCGGCCATTTTATATGAATGAATGAAGTAGTCGAAGGCAAAGTTAATGGTCCATCTACAAACTCGAATTGGTCCATCTGGATTACACAGGATTTTACAGACGTTGCAAGATAAGACAACGAAAAGGTTAGCTATGATAGTAAATATCGAACGAAAACATTGGCGATGGGTGTGTTTCTTAATTTGCTCATCCTTCTAAACGGGCATTATGATAACTCGATGAGGTTAGAATGAAGTGAACTCTCCGACAATACCTTGATGCGAGCATTAAAAATAGAACATTTTTTTTCCTGAATGGGAAACAGGCCGCAATGACAATTTCATAATTTTAGAACACATTTTGCCACGGGTTTAGTTCGCACAGCAAACGCGTACCAACATGAACGAAATGTTTTCCTTACCTCGCTAACGCATCGACCACTTTGTATCAGAAAATTTGTTGAAGTGATAGAAAAGATAAAACATGTGTCTACATCGTTTCAAAGAACTATGAAATCACCTACACTTCCTGTTCAATTACGAAACATACAGAATGATTCGGTCATCACTTGATGTATGGCCGATTAAAAAGGCACGCAACTTGTCTTATAGCTGCAATCCAGAGAAGAACCAACATGTCAAAACTACGTGGAGAAGCTAGGGGTTCGATGGGCCAACGATTGTAATTATAACCATTCACGGGACTTGTTGTGTACTGATAGATGTCTTAGATGAGAAAAATGATCGAAAACCACCAGTTGGACCAGAAGAATATTCGCAAAGCGTCTTCACTTTGTTAAGTTTTAATCAGAATGATTTTTTATAATTACAATATTAACACGTGATCGAGTACACCGTACATACACGCTACCTCTATATATAGAACTGCACGAGAACAGACATCTCCTATGCGTTTACGAGCCAGTAGCAACTATTGGCAAACCGATTTGTTGACCGAGCTAGCCTTTGCTATAGGATAATGTTCTGTTATACTATCGCTCCGTTACGTCGAATAGGCCATTTCATGATACAATTTTCAAAAAGAATAGGCCCATTGGTATAATAAATGGTTGCACGTCTATAAAAAGATAGCGTTCTTTTTCAGCTAGTTCATTAAACCTGTTAACATTTATAGCAGGGTCAAGTAGCGATCCTTCTCGACGTAGCATTTGATATCTGTCTCTATTGTAGTCTAGCATGTTGCGAAACGCTGGATCTTTCAAATCACCTGACTTCAACAACGTTTGAGGACGAAGCTAGAGTGTAGAAAAGGTCGTCGAGGCTCTCGCAGTTTATTCACAGGAATACGCAATTCTCAGGAAAATCTAATGCTTCAAAGGCCAAAAAGTTTAGTGTGTCCTCATCAGCGGACCAGTCACGCGAATCGAGTGCCACCTAGCCAAGAACAGAGGTTCTTTGTCGGCCAATTGAAGAGGAAGATCTTCGTCGTCGTTGCAACGGTATCGGAAGGCAAAGATCTGCCATAATGAAAGTTTTTTTGCTACCAACACCTGCACATCGATTTTGTATAACTCTTTTTCTGATTCTAAATGACGACAGGATGAGGACACTGCGTCTGAATTTTTTGACACAAAATACGGTATGCACAAGTATAACTCATAACACTTTATCCATCAGTGTCGAAACGTTGCTGCGAGGAAACCCGGCACGCTCTGCCGAAAAGTCTTCAGCGGTGTTCCACTACCTCCGCATTTAACAGTCACTAATTATTTGTCCACTAATTATATAATTGGTCTGAAAGCTTAAAAACACCGAAGGCACATTTCTTTCCGATACGTTGTGTTTTCGTTTAGCTTTGTTCGCCGGTATATTCCGAATTGCGATGAATTGAGGAGGTGTTAGTTTGTTTACGAGACAGTTACATATCGAAATGAAGAGTAGACATCACACCGGTCTACTTCATCCCTGCCACAGCATCTATTTCGAGGTCCGAGACGGTGACGAGGTCCGCTATCGCTGCTAACCGTAGGCCATTGAATCCTCCTCTATTCCACCTAAGTACTGCCAATTCTAGAAGGCATTGGCATACACATCCGTTACGTGAACGTACAACTAAACACGGCGACAATGACCATTTAGCAATGACACGAATCTCCGTCTTTTCTATTTTTCTGGCCGACCCGTCTAACGATTTCCGATGTCGCTACGTTCCTTTGCGAAGTTCACCTTTGGGCCAGGCCAGTGGGCATCTTAGGTTGGGTAGCATCCCAAACGTCGGCCGATCTCGAAACACGGGAACAGCGACAAAATCCGTGGCCGCTTTTGCTGGATACCTGGCCGTTTTCCGATCAACTTGAACGTAGCCGCAACATCATCGCCATCGTTGCGTTGCGTCAGCTGGACATCGTTCTTCGGATAGTCGATTCAGCGCCGTTGTTGTTGTCGGCATAGACGCGATGTTGTCAGAAGCGGTGGTAAGGGAAAAGGCCGTGAATGGCAAGATGACGAGAGTATCTTCCTGCTCATTGTGTCCAGACGACTCATTTTTCTCTTCTCGCTTGACCGTTGTTTTCATTCGGTAGCAGCAGCAGCAGCAGCAGTCTGCCTCCCTCCCTGCGCCTGGGTATACCTTCCTCGCAGTGCTTTTTACTTGCCGTTCGGCATTAGCTTCTGTGTTTAAGTGTTCGTCTTCGTCGTATTCGCTCTCCCCTTCGTGCGGCTTCTATCAAATAGTATTTTGTTTCATGGCTCCGGCATGTGCGATTGCATCTGCCAGCATTTCTTAATGGTCGCTCAGGTCAGACAGCTTTAGTTAAAGGGCTCTGGTCCGAGGGTTTTACCGTAATTGGGAGCCAGAAGCCTCGAGCTCAGAGGCGAAGACGATAACTATTTGCATTTGTCTAACGATAATAGATCAGGAACAAGCCGTCCATTGATACAAGTAGGAAATGGATTAAGGCTTATGTAGTGGTGCTAGGTGTTCGTGTGAATGAACGAAGAAGTCTTGTTTCGGCTTTGAGACTGCTGTTTCAAAGTAACCAGGACAAATTGTAAAAAATTTTTTTCAAAAGCCTTTTTAATTCTAACTGTATATGTTTTGAAACAATATTTTAGTAGTTATAATTGATTAACACTTGATTATTCAACGATACTTTTATATCCACAAATATATCTGCTAGCAGGCTATCAGGCTTAGGGACAAAGGACTCATATGATTCAAGTAAGGTAAGGTAATTAGTGAGTCAATTCGAGCTTCACTCAAAGATATGAAGATTCGATTCCCTTTTAGATCAAAATAATTTTCTTGCTAGACGAGTGATTATTTACTACAAAGCAGAACTCTCAGCTAGAGCAGATACGCGTCCATGTTAAAATGTATCACTAATCCCCACTATTGTTCACGGGCCTGATGTGGTACGTTTAGTCGACTTTTCAGATGGCAGATGTTTAGTTCGATCGTGTAATCTAGTAAGCGTGTTTTATCCTTCATTGCCATCCTTCGATCATTCCGGATGCCGAAAATGCTACCAACTTTGATCGTTGCTGTTATGCCCAGCATTGAGTCACTACGATGACCAATACGCAACGAATTGTGAACTGGGTGGCCGGTGGTGAATCTGTGTGGCCGTTCGCCATTACTCGGCCGAAACCAAAGCTGTAAGCCACTTTTCCTATGCTCTACACATGGTCACTGGTCGCCGTATCGCGCCGTTGAAGGCGATCCGGTTCACCGACGTAATCCGCCAACGAGGGTTACTCTGGCCAGCGAGACTGCTGGCACAGCCATCACGGCGACGTGAGCGGACCTACCATACGTCGATAGAAACCGCCGGCAGAGTAGGGGACGGAGGAACTCGATTTGTCGAAATCGTGAGTCTGATCTCCCCAAAAAAGCGTATGCTGCCACCAGACGCTTACAGTATGTATCATCGTGCGTCGTGAACAAAGACGCTCAGAACTTTTTGTTAGTGTTGTTACTTCGATGTTACCGTTAGTCTACGCGTAGAGCGTGCGGCATCGATCGAAGAACGCTGTTGCGTCAGGCAAGCGATAACGTAGCCAGCCTGCACCATTTATTGTTCGTGATTATCTGAATTGTAAGTACTTACTGAGCGTTTGCTGATATGGCGGTTTCGCCCCCATGTTTATGTTTAATGCCACAGCAAACAAAATAGATCCTTTTGGCTTTTTTTTATAATTTATCGACAATTAAACTTCCTACTTTTTCATGCTGAAACATCAATTCATTATTTTGATTTTTAGCAAATAGCGGCCCACAGCATGAACCTCGAACAGTTAATACTCCTATAAACATATATAATTGTAATTAGCAGTATATGAAAGGGACCGTTTTCGAAAAGATTTTACATTTACTTAGTTAAATTATTCTCTTCAATATATTACTTACTTAAATGGTTCGTATCATACACTAAAACAAAAAGTAAAGTTTTTATTATCTTGTAATATCTTGTAAGTAGAACAGGACATGAATTGTAAAACATTTTTACGATGGCTCGACATCAAAATGGCGAACGGGAGTTTGCTGATGACAGTTGATGTGATCCACTTACTACTTCAACAGCCGGGTCAACAGTCGGAGCGGGTTAATCGTTATTGCTACAACTGATAAATACAGCCATGCATGTCACGCTGAAGTAGCGGCAATTCAGAACATACAACGCTTGGGGCGCCACTTCAGTTGACTGATCCTCCTATTTTTTGCTTAGTTCTTCTTAATTTCAGTCGTCCATGCCGCTGTTCTTGCTATATGTACACAACTGGGGAAATTCCACCGTATCAAGCTTTGTAGATTGTCGTGTGGTCGAAGGAGGCGCAGGACCACCGCAGAACAGCTCTTGCCCACACGCTGTTCTTGGCGAGAACAACAGGCCGGTGTGAGTATTGCGAGGCCCGAAAAAAAGGTCAAATGCAATCTGCAAATCGGTGGTAGGAGCAAGCGTCCGACAGGACGGAGACCAACCAAAGACGATATGAGAATGGCGCTGAAAAGAATAAGGAACAGGGTGGATCAGCGCGAAGAGGGGACAGTGAGGCATTGAAGTCGAATCATCATCATCATCATTGTGGCTGCTATCGAAGAGGCGTCACCACCTGCCGGAACGTTGAAGCCAGCCGACGGCGCAACATGACCGAACGATCAGTGGTCCAAGCAGGAACATCATTGGCCGTCGTGAGATGCGGGTGAGGGCGAAAACGGGGCAGAAATGCAGCGCCTTAGGCTAACAGCGCTAATAATAACTACAACCGAATACACAGAATAAAAAACACGCAGTCTTGGCCTGAGTAACAACAAAACGAAGATATCATCTGCTAGGTAAGAGATACCGATATCAAGCTGAAAGGTCAAAGGTATGTATCTGAATAGACTGCAATAGCTGAACTCTATATCGACAATGTAGGGAAATGCTTTGTCAATTGTTTGCTTCGATACAAAACTACCAACGAACTGGGTAGGGTATTATTTAAATATGGGGAAGCACACCGTGCAAGCAGAGTTTTACTGAAAAACGAAAAGCCCCCCTTAGACTCGTTCAACGATATCTATGTGCTTTTAATGTTCTTTATTAATAATCGTATTGCGCTTCCGTAACAACTAATTTCTAGCTAGTCAAAATTTATTAATCATTCTTTCACTTTTTCAGTTAGAGCCTATTTACAGTATATACTGGGTATGTTAATTTCCGATTTTCTCGGTTCCGTCCCATGGAGCGATACAGGTTTTTTCAAAAGGATCGCGATATCATTTATTATTGACCGTACTTAATTGTGATGAGCATAAACAGAGTATTGCTTTGATAGGTCAATAAAGCTCAACCAAATCTCAATTCAGCTGATTTATCAAACATGAAAGCAATTCGTTGTGCCGATACGGCCGCGACCATAACACTAACGGCAGTGATTATGCCATAAACAAGGATCAGAACAAGTTTATAAATAGACTTTCTTACTACCTAAATTAGGACAACTATCGTATGTGGTACAACCTCGAAGAATAAACGCAGTGCTCCAAAAGAAGTAAACAAACCCGGATAGACCGAGGTAACCAAACGACGATCTACCAACTTATTTCGCTATAGCGTCACCCCTCCCGACTAACACAGATGTTGTCTTCACAGACTTCACCCTATTGCGGGAGCTTTTCTCGAACATCTGCCGTCCCCCTGCATCGCTGCAACGCTTGCTTTAACGGATGAGGGTCTTTGTACGATAGTGTGTTGTGGGGTCTGTCTGAGACAGTATGACGCCTAGAATT